AAAAAAAAGTTTATTAACGAGCTGCAGTTTTATTACATCAGGCGCTGGCACAGATGCAGTATATTAACGCCACGGGTCATCAATAAGGTGCAGATTTGGTCCTCAATTAGTGTTTCCAACACACTTTTTCACAGCGCGCATCACGTGCTCAAACTCATCAAAAGTCAACAAGTTCAACAAGCAACAACGACTTATCCAAGTGACTGCTGCAGAACGCACGCGAGAGAGAGAGACGAGGCAGCGCAGATCGCTCGTCGCATAAGTGAGCGGGAATTTACCGAACGTGGCACTAGCGGGAGTTAACACTGTATGCAATACCCGCAACCTCACACCAAATTTCAGGCCGTGTAGATAGACAAGCATACTGTATATACAAATCATTTAGTAAGCAGAAATCCAAAATTTACCTTAACATATTAAGTTAGAGGAAGATGCGACTGAATTGATGCTTGAAGAATGCGCTTCTAGCAGCCATGATAAACAGTTGGCGGTTAACGTTTTCTATGCACAATTTGATTTGACAAAAGTCACTAGACCTATTACTATCTCTCTATCCAATCATGATGATGGATAAAAATAAAATTAAAATAAGCATGTAACGACCACAAACGGAGAAAAATAGCGGAGTAAAAGTACTGTTACATCACTTCAAATGTACTCAAGTAAAAGTACACAATTTTTAAACTACTCAAAAAAGCACAATTACTGATAAAAACGACTTGATTACTGTAACGTGAGTATTTGTAATTCGTTACTTCACACCCCTGCAAGTTACTACACAAACCTGGCTTCTCCTCTTCTTAAAATGTCATTTTTGCCAGTTAGTATGGCTTTTTATATATTTTATAATCTAAATTTTCCTGTCTGCACTTTGTCACTGTTCTTATTAGTGATTACCCGTGTACACAGTTTTAAAGTGGTATTGTAGAGCTTTTCTTGGCATTAGGGACCCTCCCTAACCACAATAAAAACCACTCGAAAATCTTTTTCCCCATTCCCCCCATATGCCCTCACACACACAGATGGCTTTGATGGTTTGATACTGTGGTGCTTGCCCACGCACCCAGTCACAGCTCGATCTCACGCACTTCATGTGATGATCTTGCTCATTTGTAGAAAAACCTTTCGTGACAGGGGGGTGTGAGAGTGTGTTGACATTATCTTTCTCTTGTATTTATTTCCCTCCCTTTCACCTCTCTGTTCATGTATCACTCCGTCTCTCATCTCTCGTTTTCATCCCTCTTTGCGTTTTGATTTTGTCATCGTCACTCACGTTTCCTCTCGCTCTATTTCTTTGCTTGTGTCAGTGTTTACATACAAATGTGATTATGCTCCAGTTTTTTCAGTATTTCAGCACTGAATGTGTTTTTCGTTAAGATTTGTAAATGTTTAATTAACCATACTTTTAAAAATCTCGGTGATGTCCTAATTCGGAAGTGCTGTGCACTGACTTTTTGCTCTGTGGTTTTGGCTGAAACGAGATCAACCAGACAGAGGAAGTGAGAGGTGGGGCTTGTGTAGATGATTGTCTCAGGACGCTTTTCCATTGGTTAACCACAGCCCCTCCCACTCCCACACTCGCAAATTGTTAAAACACTTATTGGGAAACCCATGACGTTTCAGATCTGAGATTTTAGCATAATACCTGTTTTAGGCTCTCACGAATGTTAGGACACACACACACACTCACTTATGCTCACTGACTCAGAAGGGAAGATCTGAAATGAGAGCAAAAATTTGTGGTCCATTTCTGTCACGCAAGAAAATCCACAGTCTACATGATTCACACACGTCTATAGTCGCGAAACATATTCACCAGTGCACATGCAGATTTAAACATACAAATAGTAGCACATAAGTGAAATATCAAAAACAACCTTGTAGTTAGTAGTAGGTAAATAAAATTGATAAATTAAACCACTTAATTCCAATTTAAATTAAAAATCTTGCATTCTTACTTTAACATGCTTCTTTAAGTGCAAACTTTTATCATATAATTTGTGAAAAAAATTTACCTTTTCCCACCTATTTTAAATTTTTTTTTGCAGGCAAAATAAGCACGTAATCTGTCTAACATCGAAGTCTCAGTAAAAACACCTCTTAATCAATTTAATAAAAACCACAGCATATTTAACACAAAAATAAGATTGACAAAGTGATCTCGACCACAGTGCATGTTTATAATTTGCTCTTATCTCTCTGATATTCAGTACTTAAATTCTACATCAGCACATATTAATGATCACCACTTGTTGCTATGGAAACATAACCTGTTGCAAGCAGTTTAGTAGAATTACTGTAGCAATTCAAGTGGAAAAAAGGACGGTTAAGCGGGAAAAATGTTTGAAGTGTTCCTTTAATGTTAGTGTTTATATTCTACAGAAAACTAAAGAAATTTGATGCTTAGAAAATTAGGGCTGTTGACTTTGATATTTTTGAATCGATTCAGATTTCTGGTTCTGGAATCGACTCTGGAGTTCCTTACTGTTGTTTTCAGTTCTTTTTCTATTCTTTATAGATTGGAAGAACATGTTCACCTAAGCTCACTGTGACTACATGATATGAATGCTTACTACTTTTTAAACTTCCTTAGTATTCTGTTATTATTGTCAGCATCTATTGTCTCTTCATGTAGTACAGAGTGATGCTCAAAACCTTCCATTGTGGGCAGCAAGCCAGTCTTACAGTTTATTCTTTTTATATACTTTAGACATCTAGAACAAATCTTCGTTTGTGCATCAATGTCTGTATTTTGTGTTTTAGTTGCAAAACTTCATTTTAGGAAGTTTATCCAAGATGTGGGTTAATCAATATTTGTCAGTTCTATGTTATTCAACATGTAGGATCACAGACTGAAAGAGTGACCAAAAAAAAAACCTCATTGATTAAAGCAAATGAAAGGTAATAATTAGCAATATGCGTTCACACATTGAATGTTTCATGTTACATACCATGACACATAAAAATTGCTGCAGTCATTTTTTTTAACCAATTCATTGAAACAAACCATCCGAAATAACTTGTTTGCAGAAATAATTCAGACTTCCCATCACTAGTAGCGAGCGACCAAGAGGCAAATTAATGATTAGCTCTATGCAACTGAAAAGTCTATAAATGAGTATCTTTGATGGAATCAATTGCAAAGGTCCTCTTCAATTCTTTTTGGAATCAAATCCCAGCCCTACAGAAAATATATCACAAACTCATGTTATGAAAATTTTCAGAATTAATCTTTTTATCAGGCCAAAATTGTTGTGACAAATGTTTTATGATCCATTTTTGCCAATTTTGTTAGTTTTTGCTTAAATGTTTTTTAAAGGGATAGTTCACCTAAAAATGAAAATGTGCTGTTCATTTACTCACCCTCAGGCCATCCTAGATGACTTTCTTTCTTCAGTAAAACAGTAAAGAAGTTTTTAGCTGAAACTGTGGTCCTTGGTGATTCATAAAATGCAAGTCAGCACCTGCACATCTTTGAGAATACAAAAAAAGCATATCAGGGAACACAAAATTAAAACCTGTGGCTCCTGGCAATACACTGAGGTCTTATGAAGTGAAACAATCTGTCTGTGCAAGAAACTGAACATTATTTACAATATTATTACCTGTAATCCATAGCCTCAGTCAAACAGTCTGGATTGATGTCTGATTTGCGGACAAATCATTCTTTTGAACCGGTTCTTTCTGACCTGCATTTTATGAATCACCAAGGACCAGGTTTCAGCTAAAAATCAGGCACTGATCCATCATTAGTAAAAATGGTCTTTTCTGCAGAGCTGTGCATTTGTACGAATATTTGCCAGAGTATAGAGATTGTCAACTCCGTTCTCTTAAACATTTTAGATCAGGCGGCTACGTGGACAGCCCTCCAAGTTCCAGAATAGCGGTGGAGGCGTATATCAGGACCTATGTTTGGAAAGCCCAGCATCTGCAGAAGGTGATTACCTCAGTTCGGACGAGGACCCTCTTCAGAGCCACTTGCCTCTAACCTCCCTGTATCCGCACCATTCGTCACCTCATCTGGACAGTCAAGGCAGCACGGACAGCGACGGCGAGGAAAGGAACCCCATTCAAACCCCCTGCCAAGATCCTCTGCCTAACCAGCAGCAGCTTTACCCGGGCATGGTGTGCACCGAAGGACTCGAGAACTGAGATGGCTTGAAATGGTGAGATGGGATGGACAGAATCCTTTAGGAATAGACTGCACATAATGCACAGATATATGTGACCCTGGACCACAAAACCAGTCATAAGGGTCAATTTTTCTAAATTGAGATTTATACATCATCTGAAATCTGAATAAATAAGATTTCCATTGATGTATGGTTTGTAAGGATAGGACAATATTTAGAAAATCTGGAATCTGAGGGTGCAAAAAAGTCCAAATACTGAGAAAATGCCTTTAAAGTTGTCCAAATGAAGTTCTTAGCAATGCATATTACTAATCAAAAATTAAGTTTTGATATATTTATGGTAAGAAATTTACAAAATATCTTCATGGAACATGATCTTTACTTAATATGCTAATGATTTTTGGCATAAAAGAAAAATCAATAATTTTGACCCATACAATGTATTTTTGGCTATTGCTACAAATATACCCCAGCGACTGGTTTTGTGGTCCAGGGTCACATATAGCGTGAGAGAGAGATTATGTACATTCACCCAGAAGCTGTCAGAGGTAGGGCAGGAAAACGATGCATAGCACGACACTCTCATACTATACTTCGCTCTCACTCAAGCTGTGTCCGAAACTTGAAAAACGCAGCTTTTCTGGCAGTAAAGGGAGCTACGGGGGCACCAAGACATGTCCAAATCCAGTGTTGGCCTTCCATTTGTTCGACTTATATCTCCACAATCCTGTGCACTCAGTTTGGTGTTTAGAGATAAAACATCTGATAAAGAGATTAGAAATAAAATAATTCATAAATGCCTTTTTTTCATGTTTTAAAAAGCTTGAGTTTAAATTTCTACACCGCATTCTGTAGTCACTAAATATCTGTTTATGTCTAAACTTTACTTGAATTTGTTCTAGCTCATTAGATGGGACGTTTGGTGGTCCCTTTAAACAAATGCATGGCAGCTGCCTTCAGTTTCAGATACAGCCTCTGTCTCTTTGTCTTATACTTTCTTTTTGTCAGTGTCTGTTGCACAATTCTTAAACGTATTGCATTTCTTCCCAGGACTGAATTTGGAGTTCTGTATAACAAATACCAACATGCATACACACACAAACTGTCCTCCTCTCTTGAGTGCCAGAAAGTTTGGTCATTTTTGCCATTTTCTCTTTTCAAAGAAAACAGTGTGGCCTTGAAACTACCTCTGATTTAACCAGACACTCACTCAGTCCCTGTGAGCATACCAACTTCTCCAATACAACAGCCATCTGGCTAGAAATGAGGTGACAGAGGAAAGAAAAAGCAAGCAGGATACACACCTTCTGGTACACAAGTTTGCAGCATCCTGTCAAAACATGGGATTGTCTTTGTCACGCTCAGTTGGCGCCTAACGGAGGGACCATCTCTACTGTTTGTTTAGAGGATAGCAGCAGATTTGGTGCCTCTCTCAGCCTGGACGTTCTTCGTTTTTCTGTCTTGTTCCTGTGGAGAGGATGTGCACCTTTTATGTTTATCTGAAACGCAACAGACACTATAATCCCTTTAATGGGAGGTGAAGGCCGAATGAGAGAAAATAGGAGTGAACAAAGTCTTATTATATAACGCAATAGGGATGTTAATAGTTACATGCATAGATGAATATTACCGTAGCTCATCCATGTATTTGTGTGTGTTTTATACAAAACAAAGAAGAGTGATCAAACTTTTGGATGGAAAAAAAATCCATTGCAAAAGAAAACTATGTCAACATTGCCAAAAGTTTTTTATGTTAATTGTTTATTTCTTTTATGTTTTTTTAAATAATGTTAATGTACTTCATGCATACAGAGGCCAAACTATTTAATTTATACTATTCTTCTGTGCCAATCCTGAAAAACAGCATTAAGCTGAAACTACAGGGTCTCCAGAAAAGAGAGAACTTTAAAAAAGTGTAAAGAAAAGAATAACAACTGCTGCTATGACATATCTAGTTAGTGTTTTTTTTTTTTTTTTTTTTTTTATGTTCACAAGCATAACCCCTCTCTCATGTAAAGTAGATCTATAAGTCCAAAATATACTGTGAAGTTATTATTGACTTGACGCTTACAAGCAACGAGTTTATGTACATTACATAAATACCCTCAAGCAACTATAGGCTATTGATTTGGATTTCACATTTCTACTGTTAACCATCTTAAGGCAGTTATTGATCCTGATTTTTATGGGTTTGTGCTAAATCTAAAGCAACTTCCTGAAGCATTTGTGAAGACTGTTGTTCTTGGTTGATATTGAAGAAAGTCTTCATTTGTAGAGCTAAAGCTTGCTTGCATTTGACTGAACTATGAAAGGTTTTTCAAACAAACGTAACTACTAAACTAAACTACAGTTCATTGCAAAATAATGTGGGATTTTGTATATACATATGCATTATATTATACAAATATTTCATACTTGTAACAGGTTTCTTTCTTTTAGTCGAGTTGGGTCACTTACATTTTTTTTTACCCACAATTTCGTAACCTGTCTTGAAGATTTCCATCTGACTCAGTACTGTCTACGATGCTGTGTTTGTCTGACCACACATGGTACATCAGTGTCATTGCCTTTCCCCACCACTGCCTCATTTTGCTAAAGCTTGTCAATCGTTGCATTTATTAGACATTTTACATGTTTACATGATTTTCTGAGAACAATACATTGCCGACATTTGCACCATTTACTGGTTATTGACCCAAAAACCAGTGAGAAGCTGCTCTCAGTCATGTCTTTGACAGTATGATGCATTACAAGACATTGGAGTTTTGGGGAGAAGTATTTACAGTATGTGCTGAATATGTCATGAAAACCATTTAAGTGTGTTCATAAAGCATATCTTCTTTCGAGTGGTTGTAAGTTCTCAAGGTTTCCTGGGGTTGCTGTTTTAACATACCAGTGTGTTGTATTGACTGATACAAAATTGTTTATTAATGGTTTGTGTCGAATAGCTAGCTGTAGAGTTGATATTTTTCCCTTGATCAAACCTATAATGCCCCTTGCACTGATAAAAAAAAACTATTTTATATACCTGTTATACCTGAAAAATAAAAATTGACACAGACTAAGAAATAACAGTGTGAATAAGACCAATAATGATATTTTGTGCAAATGGACTTGAGATTTTAAAGGGGTCCTATTATGCTCTTTTACAAAGTCTTGATTTTGTTTTGGGGGTGTACTAGAACAGGCTCTCATACTAGGTTGTTCGAAAAACACATTATTTTTCACATATTTTACATTATTACAACACCTCTCTCCCCAGTCTGGCATGAACGGCTCCTTAGTATCGATATTTTTTGTTTTGAGTATCGATACTTTCGATACTCGCATCAGTATCAATATATCGATACTTCGGATCGATACGCCCATCCCTAATTGGCAGCATTCGGCGCCTGGTCGGGAAATGTCATGCCCCTTACCATAGCCGCCTGCGAGCTTCAGTGTAAATATGGCGTCAAAATCAAATCAATCTGAACGTGATTTAAACCCGGATGATTGTAACCACTCTAAGTTCGTCTGCCTTGGGAAAGCTAGTGCGTCTCCGACATAGTGATAACACTCGTTGCCTTCTCTAGTGCAGCTCAACCAGGTCTCGTCCCATTCGTCGATATTTGTGATATCACAAATCGCGGAAAATATGCGTTGTAGTCCAAACGACTCGTTCCTTGTAGTTTTTGAAAAGTGATATCTGTTAAATATAATATCTCCTTTTGAAATCGACTTTGAGCTTTGTAACTTTGCAGATCTTTTTTTATGCTCAAACAGCCACATTACAGACTAACTAAAGTTGAAAAAGTGAAAAAGCATAATAGGACCCCTTTAATATTGTTTCATGTTGCACTACAAATCTAAAAGACTAAACCTCTCTAGCATCATCTCTACTAGGGCTTTACTCTGATTTAGAACATCCTTCCTGTTCCCCAGTGACCTCTGTAACATTTAAAACCATCCACAAAACCAGTTTCAGAAGTGTGTACCTTTTATAAACTGTTCTTTACAAGAAGAGCAGCAAGTAAAGGAAGTTGCTTTGCACCTTTCATTTCTGGCTGGTCTTTAAAGAGAAACCTCAGAGGGTCCCTGAAGCCAGAAAACTTTGTCAAGCAGTTGTTGTACCAACATTTGTTCTGGTTTGGGACTGTTGGATTTCAAATAGTCGAAGGAAGCTTTCCTCACAACTCGATTACAAAACACAACGGTTTTGTGGTGTGAGATTTAGCTTCTAAAGAATATTTGCTAATAGGAAATCAGACATGGCTGTTTTGAAATTAACTTAACTTGTTTAGTGAGTTGATTTTGTTTAAAACAAGAAGTCAGTCTTATTGGAAAGGCTTTAGTAAGCCTATTTATTGTTACCTGAGCAGGAACATGCCATTTTTAGATTGTCAGCGGGTGGCTAATATGGTCAAACACCTTCCTGTCTCACATTGAGCTCTAATTTCAATCACCTTCAGAATGGCTGAATTATGTTCTAATCAGTGGAAGAAAAGGAAAAAAAAGATGAATGAAAAATGTTACGGTGATAATAATATCAGTACTTTGTGGTATTATGAGTCAGTTTTCCCTGCATAAAGTCTATCACATATCTCAGAAACACTATGTCACTGTAACAGTTGAAACTGAATACTTCTATATACTGTTATCAGTAAATTTTATTTATTTATTTTTTATTTTTTTTGTAGCATCTTTCATGCCAGTTTTTATCTCACTCACTTTTGTTGTTGTTTGAAGGTTGCCATGTAAGCAATGATCATAATGAAACCCTGATTGGTTTCATGAAAGGTATGTCGTCATTACAGAAGACGACCTAACTAAAACAAAATGCATAAATGTACACTTTTATGCATGAGATTGAAGAACATCACTGTTCAAAAGAACACTGTATTGTATTAAAATTCCTCTTATTATCAGGATATTTTTTATATTGCAGTATACTAAATCATTACAAACAGAACTGTTTGTCTTCCATTTTCTTCAAGATGAGTAAATGTGGAGATGAATGCATAAATTGGGGAAAATAATATGTGTCTATAGCGCATGTAATGTCACTCAAGTGTTACAAGCATACAGAAAATGTGCTACTGTATTCAATGTTTTCATTCAAATATAGTGTGACTGCGATCTCAAACACTGTGTGTATCAAAACAGCAACCCAAAAAGCTGAGGTCAATATTTCATACACATCACATTACGCTTTCAGGTGTAGTCATGTTAAAATAAATGGCCAGTGAGGGCATGAGGTCATAACACAGGCTGATGTGACGTCACCTCCTCTATAGTGCTCCAACAGCTGCCTTACCTCCACAGTCCGTAAATGTTCAGTAGTCTCCGCATTACACCCATCAGACCACATCCTCTCTCTCCTACAGTTTTACTGATGTGTTATTAAGAATGACAGTACTAAAGACATATAAATGGCAATGTTATCAAATGATGATCCAGTGTTCTGTATTTGAAGATAAAATGAATAAACATTTATGCTATACAACATTTGCAAAGTTACAATTTTTGAGTCATGTAGGTATTATTTTGCATTAAAGAGTTTTATATGTTAAAGGGATGAAAATTCAAAAATTCTTCTAACATTTACTCACCTTGTTGGCCAAACCAGGCCTAAGACTATACATGTAACTTAAAAAAAAAAGAGTGGATTGTATTTTATTTCAATAATATTTATTCTTTAATATTTTAAAGAAAAATGTACCTTATTTAGAAAAATTTATCTAAATTCACTACTTCAGACATATACAGTATGTGCCCTCTAGAAGCTTGCGTTCTGCAAGTGAACAGCACATTATAGTGCCATCTCAAAGAGGCACAAAATCATTTTCAGACTTTTACCTTAAAGGAACACTCCACTAGTTTTGAAAATAGGCTCATTTTCCAACTCCCCTAGAGTTAAACAGTTGAGTTTTACCGTTTTCGAATCCATTCAGCCGATCTCCGGGTCTGGCGGTAGCACTTTTAGCTGTAGCTTAGCATAGATCATTGAATCTGATTAGACCGTTAGCATCTCGCTCAAAAATGACCAAAGAGTTTCTATATTTTTCCTATTTAAAACTTGACTCTTCTGTAGTTACATTGTGTACTAAGACCGACGGAAAATGAAAGTTGTGATTTTCTAAGCCGATATGGCTAGGAACTATACTCTCTTATTCTGGCGTAATAATCAAGGAACTTTGCTGCCGTACCATGGGTGCAACAGGCGCAATGATATTACGCAGCGCCTGAAAATAGGTTTATTTTAGTTACCTAGCTGGGGACTATTTTCAGGCGCTGCGTAATATCATTGCACCTGCTGCACCCATGGTACAGAGTATAGTTCCTAGCCATATCGGCTTAGAAAATCGCAACTTTTCATTTTCCGTTGGTCTTAGTACACGATGTAACTACAGAAGGGTCAAGTTTTAAATAGGAAAAATATAGAAACTCTTTGGTCATTTTTGAGCGAGATGCTACCGGTCTAATCAGATTCAATGATCTATGCTAAGCTGCAGCTAAAAGTGCTACCGCCAGACCCGGAGATCGGCTGAATGGATTAGAAAATGGTAAAACTCAGCTGTTTAACTCTAGGGGAGTTGGAAAACGAGCCTATTTTCAAAAATAGTGGAGTGTTCCTTTAACTATTCCCTCCTGGTGGAATGTCCTTCTTCAAGAAACTGCTAAAAACACATCTCTTCCATCTACCCATGACCCTTTAACACTAGCACTCTCTATTTTATTTCTATTCTGACTATTTGTTTTCTTTTTATTTAAAAAAAATTACCCTCTAACACTAGCATTCTCTATTCCTTTTCTATACGATCTACTTGATTTCTTTTTATTTATTATAAAAAAACTGACCCTCTAATACTATTGTTCTCTATTATATTTCTAATTAATCTACTTGTTTTCTTTTTATCTATTATAAAAAAAAAAAATTTAAACCTTATCGTTTACTGCATTAGAATAACCGAGACTTGTCACAGCACTTACATATTATTGCTCTTTTGTTAGTTTTTTTTTGCTTCTATTGTCCTAATTTGTAAGTCGCTTTGGATAAAAGCATCTGCTAAATGAAAATGGTAATAAAATGGTGAATGGTAGGCCTACTAGACAATATTCATGGTACTAGAAAAATTATGCATCATTTATGTCTATATAAAATAACTGAAATATTAGAAAAGAATATATAGCAACCCAGTATGTATATATAAATACATACGTAAATATTGAAAATCAAAATGTACAAGTTTTCAGTCTAAAATGACTGAAGAACCACCAGCGTGTAACAGAAGATGTTTTGGAGTCCTAACAACATTGGAGCTCGTTGACTTTCATTGTATGGACAAAAAACACTGAGACATTTTTCAAAATATCTTATTTTGTGTTTTACAGAACTACTAAAGTCGTACAGATGGTAAGTAAATGATGACAGAATGTTCATTTTGATCAAATTGTTCCTTCGAAGCTCTGCATGGATGTAGCATCATGAAAAAGTAATTGTTTTTGGTTAGAAATTCAGGAGTTGGAAAACGAGCCTATTTTCAAAAATAGTGGAGTGTTCCTTTAACTATTCCCTCCTGGTGGAATGTCCTTCTTCAAGAAACTGCTAAAAACACATCTCTTCCATCTACCCATGACCCTTTAACACTAGCACTCTCTATTTTATTTCTATTCTGACTATTTGTTTTCTTTTTATTTAAAAAAAATTACCCTCTAACACTAGCATTCTCTATTCCTTTTCTATACTATCTACTTGATTTCTTTTTATTTATTATAAAAAAACTGACCCTCTAATACTATTGTTCTCTATTATATTTCTAATTTATCTACTTGTTTTCTTTTTATCTATTATAAAAAAAATTGTTAAAACCTTATCGTTTACTGCATTAGAATAACCGAGACTTGTCACAGCACTTACATATTATTGCTCTTTTGTTCGTTTTTTTTTGCTTCTATTGTCCTAATTTGTAAGTCGCTTTGGATAAAAGCATCTGCTAAATGAAAATGGTAATAAAATGGTGAATGGTAGGCCTACTAGACAATATTCATGGTACTAGAAAAATTATGCATCATTTATGTCTATATAAAATAACTGAAATATTAGAAAAGAATATATAGCAACCCAGTATGTATATATAAATACATACGTAAATATTGAAAATCAAAATGTACAAGTTTTCAGTC